GGGCTTCGCCCATCGGGCAACTACAAGCACAGGGCATGGAGGGTGAAACCATCAACCTCCATGATGACTGCCCTGGGACAGGCAATCCTACAAATGGCCAATCCACAGAGGAGGCAGAAGCGCTCCTGGCACAGGACGTAAAGAAAAAGACGGCCCGCCGTCGCCACAGCCGCAAGAAGAACGAGGACATACATGTAGGCTTCCTTAACCTACATGGTGCTCGAACGGCGAGCAAACGGGAAGAACTATATCAAATGATAGGTGACGAAGACAGAGAGATATATGCCGTGGCTGAAACACACCTTCGAGTCATGGAAGAGCCACCAGTACATAAAAGTTGGCAGTGGGCTGGCTTGAACCGTTCAGGTGAATCGAGGAAAGGGGGAGGAATAGGTTTCCTGTGGAACACTAGGTCAGCTTGGAAGAAACTGGACAGCCCGTGTGTTGAGCATATGTGGGTCGAGGGCTACCTGCAAGGGCTAACAGTCCTGGTAGGGGTGGCCTGCTTTGACGTATCTGCTGGAGCCGATGCTGGAAACTCGAGAATGGCGCAGTGCATCAGGGAAGACGTGACAAGATGGGCAAGCCAGCGAGAGGTTCTCATTATGGGTGATTTCAATGGGCACCTCCAAGCTCTGGATGGCTTCCAAGATACCAATGGGGAACTACTACTGGCACTGGCACGTACACTCGCCTTAGATGTGCTAAATCTTCGTCCAGAATGTGAAGGACAGTACATCTGGAGCGCCAGGAACAGTCGCAGCTGTATTGATTACGTGCTTGCGACACCTGCTTTAGCACGACGTCTCACCCACATGAACATCGATGAAAAGGGTGAATTCAGCATAGGAAGTGACCACAACCGAATCAAGTTGAGCTTTTCTCGATCCTCCTGGCGAACCATTGCGAAGGAACATCGCAACCCAGCTGAGAGGCACCTCCCGCAGTCGGAGTATGCGGCAGTCGCGGAAGCATTCGAGCAGAACTTTCAACCGACGGAACCACCAACATATGATCAATTTGTGCTCGAACAGCGACGCATCATGAAGAAGCACGAAATTCGCGTAAATTCCCGCGGCGGCCTAAGGCTCAAAGGCTGGTGGGACGAAGAGGTACAAGGGGCCCTTATTGCAAGACGAACGGCGAATCGCCTACACAGAGCGGCTGTTAGGACATCACCCGGAGAGGAGTGCATGAGTACCTGGGAGGAATACCTCCGCCTCAAAAGAGAGATGCGGATCCTCGTACAAAGCAAAATAGCTCAGTACAATAGCAGACAATTGCGAGCTATCACAGAGGCAGGGCGTAACGGTGCAAACAAATTTTGGAAATATGTGTCTTCGTTAGATCGTCAAACTCCGGCACCTGAAATTCGACACCACTCTAGCAACCTACCGGTCACCGACCTCGCAGCGCACCTCACGACCCACATGCAAGAGCTCTTCAATCCCACACATGACGAATCAACCTCAGCAGTAAACGGCGACCCGGATGAGCCTCACCAACCAAGTGAAGAGGACCATTAGCAGATAACGAGGATCGCTCTTGAGCGTGCACTCCCGCGTATCAGTGCAAGCACTGCTACCGGACTGGACGGCATACCGGCGGGCCTTGTGAAATGCTTGGGGAAGTCTGCTCGAGAACACCTCGCGGGATTTTTCAATATCATCCTCAAGAACGGCCCAATCCCACCCGACTGGCAATGCGGCAGAGTAAGCCTCGTGTGCAAGAGAGGAGGCGACGCTGGACTGCTGGGCGACTATAGACCAATCACGGTGACGAGCGTCCTATATAGACTCTTCGCTCAAGTTTTGAAGGTGTGCATGAGCGGCTGGGTGGAGAAGAGGGGCATACTGTCGGAACTCCAGAATGGCTTCCGACGGAACCGACGCTTGGAAGACAATCTTTTCGTGCTCACCCAGACCATCGAGGTGGCACGGAGAGAAACCAGAGGTCTGCTTGGATGCTTTCTGGATGTCGCTAAGGCTTATGATAGTGTGCCACACGAGGAGTTTTTCCACCAGTTAGACCAACGACAAATGCCGAGCGTGTGGACAGACTTTCTCCGGCGGCTCTATGCAGATAGCTCGGTGGTAGCATGCTTCAGAGGCACCAGAACACAGCCTGTGAGGGTGACAAGAGGACTCAGGCAGGGCAGCCCTTTTTCTCCGCTGCTATACATGCTATATGTGGCGGGACTCGAGCAGGCACTCGTGGAATCGGGAGTTGGCTTCGCGTTCCGACTCATGATTGGTGGGGTGGCGCAGACATGGACACTGTCCGGCTTGGTGTTCGCTGATGATCTAGTATTACTGGCTGAGTGCAGCAGTGACCTTCAGAGGTTGGTAACACTGGCGGCCGACCACCTGAAGATTCTGGGCCTTCACTTCAATGCCAAAAAATCGGCCATATTGCAGTTTTCAGGCGTGGAGACCATTGATGTGCAGCTTCCCGACGGAGGAAGCATTCCGGTATCAAACCAGTACCGGTATCTCGGTGTCAACCTTTGCACCTCCGCAGATATCTATGACAAGCAAGAGGAGCACATTCGACAGGCTTCTGTGAGGGCCGCCAACGTGCTGCGACGGCGGAGTCTGTGGGGGTGCAACCGGTTTGTACTGGTGCGCGAACTGTGGAGGCAGTACATGTGCCAGTGCTGACATTCGCCAACGCCGTCATCTGCCTGTCTGCAGCAACACGCCAGTGGTTGGATAGAGGTCAGCGTGAGGTAGGGCGACTGGCGTGTCATGGACGTGTAGCCGTCGAAGCTGTACAAGGCGACCTAGGATGGTCAAGTTACGAGGCACGCGAGGCAAGAACAGGCGGCCTACGAAGGACGTCTTCGCCTCATGAACGACCAGCGGTGGGCCCGTCGTGTATTTAGATACACAGCTATCAAGGGCATGAACACACCATGGCGCAGGCGTCTCCACAATCTGTGCCGCAAGTACTCCCTTTTTACTGACCCTGTCCAGGAGGACAGTGAGAGGAAATGGGCAGTAGGAGTACGGAATAGATTGCAGGAAGCTGAGACGTCGATGTGGCAGGCGGCTATGGAGAAGAAACCCAGCCTGGCCCTATACAGAGCTCACAAGATCACCATCTCCGCCGAACGATTATACGACAATAATGTCGGCAGTGCGCTTCTGTTTGAGGCCCGTGCTGGAGCGCTCCATACTCAGGTGTATCGCCGTCACTTTGACCCGTCCGTTGGCCGACGGCACTGTGTAGTGCAGGACATGCGGGAAAGACGAGGAGAACATTGAACACCTGGTGCTTCACTGCGAACGCCTGTGTCCCCGTCACACAGATGGCGCCACACTACCGGAGGCACTCGGCTTTGTGAAAGACTGCGGCGCACCGGGAGGCGACAGCCGCGATACCAACGTGCACCCCCTGGCAGCGACAGCAATAACCAAAGCAAGGCTTCTACAGTGGTGGTCAAGGAGACAGTGAACAATTGTGATGTTCATGGACCTGGTGTGATTTTTCTTTCCTTTTTTTCGTTTTTTTTATTTATATGTTTCTCGTTCCGGTCAGGACACTAAAAGGTGCCCCCCCCCCCCGGTATAAAGGGGAATACCACAGAGATCATCATCATCATCGTAGACTCAACCATTAGTGGATAAACCACACTATGTGTCGAAGGCCAGGGCGCTGTTCTACCTCAGAACGAATAGTGGCGTAGAATCGTTTGCCAGCATAGACGAGCACAGGGTTCTCCTTCAAGGCGGGGGGGGGGGGCACAAAGGGTGATCGCAGCCCCCCCCCCTTTTTTACGTGGCCCATACGCACGCCTATTAATGCCGGTTCACCTCATAGTAATGTCGTTCGTACCGCCGATGACAAGCACAAATTTGTAAGACTACGATGCTACGACAATGCACATGAAAACTTGCATCTATTCCGCCAACTGTTGCGCAAACTTGAGGCGCTTGAATATGCATGCTACTTCGGCATCCACAGTGTGCAACGAATAGGTAACAGCAAAGCAATGGAAGAATGCATTCAATATTGAGTTTTCCAGCGTCACCCCCCCCCCCTCTACCTCTCTCCTGGACAGTGCTGGGGAGTAGAATGCAAGTCATGACTACCTGAAATGAGAAAGTCGCCCACTTGTGGGCGTAGAAAACGCGCATCTGGTTCTTATATGTTATTTTCATTCATGAGATAGCTGAATTATCCTCGGATGGATACAATTCGGAGCACAAAAGGTCCACGTGTAAAGATCATGCAATGGACATCAGAGAAAGTACATGTGAGGGGGGAGGGGGGATCAAAAGTTTTCCGATTACTATTCCACAAATTCCACGCTATGGGAGCGTGGCCTGGGAACTTTAGACCCACCCTGCACATGTCCACATGCTCATATTGCTTCATTATGGCTAAACCGCTAAGATGTACCTACAGAATGTGTGCACCCACCCATTGAGCAAACTACTCTTAGGAGTATTTGCTAATAAAATTGAGTGACACCTTCGAGGTCACTTGATAAATGTTTAAAATATGATCTCTCTCAAGCCAAAGCAACATTTCTGTTGACTTTCTGTGCAATATTGAACCTGCAGTGATGTCTTATTAGACGCTGGAACAAAAATTTGACCTTGTAGATAAATTTGCGATTTACTGGGTATGTATGTACATTGACCTCGACGTTAGCTTGAGTGTTGGCCGCGAAGGCACCACCAGTGTTGATCAGTTTAACCGATGGTAACCACTGGTAATATGCTTTTGAACACCCAATCTAGAGTACCAGCTGTCTTTTTGGACCCAAAGGAAACAAATTGGCAAAACAAATGGCCCAATAAATCCAACAAACAATGCCTTGTGAAGCTCATGCACAGAAGTCCAAACATTTCATTCCAATGGGAAACCCATGAAAAGTACTTGCATCCGCAGCAACCTGTTCAGCCATCGTCGACAGGACAGCAGAAAGGCCACCCAAAGATTGAAGCTTCATCATCTTGTGTAACAAAACAAATAAGGTAACACACAGCTCATTTTCAAACGAGAATTTAAGAGAATTTATTCAATACTTTACCCAACGGTTGCATTAATTTGAATATTACAAATTTACACATCCATATAAAGGTAAAGTCCTCAAAGTGTGTGTGTGTGTGTGTCTCAGAGCTCAGTCTGAGCGGCCTGACAAAGCATTTTGTTTTCCTCGAGAGCTCATATTTTATATATATTTATATATATGTATGTATAATATATACATGCACACACACAATACACGCACACCTTGTCCCGTACTAGGTGGGAGTCTGTTCCTGTCCTGTCTGGTGCTGCTATCTTCTGCACAATGGTCACACGCACTGCATTTTTCCCGGGGAGGGGGGTGCAGCACGTCTCTCTCATCACCGAGGAAGCGCCATATACATCATAATGAAAGTCCGTACAGCCACGCAGCGCGTCACACAATCAACAAACGTAACTCTTCATGTGTGTGCAGCACGGAAAAAAAAAAGAGCCAACAATCAACATGACAAAAACAAAAAGATGCTTGACAAGAAACAAACAAGTTGCCTCTTCCAGCCTCTACACAACAAGGCAAAAAACACATACTTTGCAACAAGCGTAAAGCAGCTGAAAAAACACCAGCATGGCTTCCGCACTCATAAGAACCCCCAAAATAAGTTTGGCAAGGCATCAGACAGGGGGGGGGGAATGCTCTGTCAAAACACAACAGGCATGTGTCCTACGAAACTAATATATATATATATATGCGTTCCTCTCAACTATAAACGATGCTCCGAACAATACTGTACAAAACACAGGAGCAATAATAGTAATAATAATGAAAAGAAATAATTAAGTTTTGTTCTAGATTGCAAAGATAAAGAGAGAAAGTAGGCTGCGAGCAGCAAATGCTTCAATTTGCCTCCCCCCCTTAGCCCACATTTTTTTTTTTTTTTGCGTAAGCTATGAATAGGAAAACCAAGGGCTGAAAACAGGAGTACAGTGATGAGACGATGTCAAGCGAAGTGCGAAAAGGAAGAAATCGCAGAGACAAGTGGCCGAGCGCACGCACAATATTCTCCTCCCAGCCTAGCCCCCCACCCAGAAGTCGTCAGAACGCCATTGGTATGCCCTCGAGAAAAGTACAACTACCAAGTTCAACTCCTGCACCACGCACGTATGAAAGCGAAGTCCAGCGCTCTGAAAAAAACTCTGTCCTCCTGCCTTGTGTGACAAGAATCAGGTACCAAGTATGTTTTTTTTTTTTGTTTTATCGAATAGGTCGCTGAAAAGGGATAGAGGTGGTGTTTAAGGGTGGAGGAATGAGCCAGCCAAAAGCGAGGACTGCACATCGGGGGAGAAGGAAGTCCACCATTAACTGCAACAACACAACACAGGGTAACTGGAGGAGAAAGGTAAGGGTGTAGAAAGATTAAACGCACATAAAAAGGAAAGTGGGGGCAGGCTGTGAAGAGAATGGAAGGCCAAGGATGAAAAAAGCACTTTGGGAATGACACTGGAAAGGGGGCTCAAGAAGGGGACCATATCCATCCCTCTATAAAACACTAATCGCACCTTTACAGACTGTCCTCTTTTAATTAACTAGCCATTGTTTTCCTCACTTTATATATATATATATATATATATATATATAAAGATAGGCCTGATATACACACCGTACTGAGATACAGATTTTTTTTTTTACCTCTTGCATGCACTCAAGGCTTCAAAAAGCTCACTCGCACATTTTATTTTTTTTTCTTCCTGTCAGACACACACATACACAGCAGTCGCACAATGCGCGCATGCGCAAGCTTATAAAAAACATCAGCATACACCCCCATTTTCATGTTTTTCTACTTCTGCTGCTGTTGTCTTTTTCATAGTCCTACACACGCATACCTCCAGCAACAGCTGTGGCAACAGCAGCAGCAAGGCATTGTGAAGAAAAGTAGAGAAGGGGGCTGGGTTCCAAGAGGGAGCGCAAAGTGACCAGGGGAGGGAGAGCGCATTGCTCTCTCATTGAGGAGCGCACTACACCTGTTGTAGCTGAAGACTGTACACCCATTCGCACACTCAGAAAGAATCTGCGAGAATAAGCAAGACACCATTGTTTGGTTTGTCCCCTCTGTGAGGATGCGACGTCGCACCACAAGCACTCTGGGATTGCGACAGTTAACGAAGCTTCTTAAAGAAAGCCTCTCAACCCACGTGGCAAACGGATCTGCACCGACACATGTCCAACCAAATCGGAGGACTAGTGTTTTTCCCACACTCACTCATGTCCCAACATGGCAGTATAGTTATGTCCCAGCCCCTGCCTTGGAGTATGAAACATCCACAAGAAAGAGTCTGTACCCTGAAGACTCCTCTCAAAATGTGCGTTGCCACAGGAAGAAGAAGAAGAGGAGGAGGAGATTATTGGATATATACACATAAAATACGGTGGACAGTTGTGTCTTAGTCATCTGCAAGACGCTTTTTCAAAGGATTAAAGGGAAAAGACCAACTAAAGCAGGAATACTTAAATACATTATTGTAAATGTCAGAGGGCTGCCAGCTGGTACAATTGCTAAAACGAGAAAAAAAAAAGAACAGCAACTCTGCCAAAATGGTAAAACCAATACTGTGCGTTACACAGCGGATGTTCAAACTCTCGCTCTTATGAACACAGCGATTGATTGGCAATTGATTCTAAATAGGTGCCCGTAAAGTTCGAAAAAAAAAGAGAAAAAAAAGAAGGGAGGGGGAAGATAGAAGAAAAACATGGTCATACTTCAGCAGCCTGCACCTTCATCTGAAGATTTATTTTGTCTGCCCGATATCCAAGACATGCATGCACGCACACATTCAAGACGCTGAGAATAGCAGGCAGTGGCACAAAAATGAAACAAAGCCATAGCTGCGTGTCCACAATACTGCTGCCAGGTGGTGGCTATGAGGCCTACGGTGGCACTGCAGGTGTGCCTTCTCACAGAGCCTGCCCTGTTGTTTCCCCCTCTATGCACAACACACATTCCCACTGGTTGCGTTGTGCTTGCCAAGGAGCGCAGAATTGGACCCACAGCTGTTCCAGAACTCGCAATGACACACACTGCCACCTGCCATATTGCCTATGTACAAAATGCTGACTAGGTAAGAGTTCAAAATAAAACCTGCTGGAATTAAAAGAAATATAAACTCACAAACTCGCAGATGGGTGGGAACTTGTGAACAACACAAGGACAAAGCGAAAGTACAGAAGGAAAAAAAAGGAACTCACATTCAGGTGTGCGTCAACCTACATGCACGCGCAAAGCATGGCGACTGGTTTCAAATGGACTGTCGCCAAGTCCACAGGCATGGACTTGTTTGCCCTGGTCATGACTTGAGCTTGCCAAGGGCAGGCAGATTAACCAACTAGCAGTGGGTGCAATGTACTAGCATACAACCATAGGCTCTGACACAAATGTGCACCATCAATGCCTCATTGTTGCACTGTGGCAATACCCATGCTTCCACCTATGCTGACCCTGTGGCTAAAGTCCTTGTAGATGGCAGGCAGCACACATGCAGAATCCTTTCCATTTGGCACTCCTTTAAAAAGCAGAGTTATTAAAAAAACAAAAAAAAACACTGACAGAAACAACACACACGGAGGAGCACAAATGTCCTTAAGTGTTTTAGGGTTGCAACCCTAGAGAAGGTTGTTCAAGGCATGTAATGCCGTTACACCCGATAGACCTGAACAGCAGCTGCTCCACACAAAGTTATATACTTTCTTCAAAAATGCAAAAAAGTGCTCCTTTCAATAAATTTGAGTGGAGCAAACTAACAGCAACAGAGTGTGGTGGGCATGGCATAATAAAGACAAATCTTGTATGGCGGCGAGGCTAAAAACAAGTGTACAGGCTGTGTGTGCGAGTCCAAGAAAAAAGGAGAAGCATCTGCCCAGGAGTGTGCGGCAACAACAAGGCATCTCTTCCATCCTCCCCAGAAATGGCACCACACAGAGAGAGTCCCTCTCGTCATGGGAAGGAGAGAAGCACTGTCATCTCTCTTCCTTCGTGGAAAAGCAAGCATGTGTGTTGTCCATATGTGCGCCAGCAAACTATCCACAGTGGCGTTCGTCTTGGCATTGTGTCACCTCCGTAGGAGGAAGCAGGGGGGAACGTCGCCTCCATCAGTTTGTCGCGGCAAGCGGTTGTCACCACCGAGCTTGCGATGTTCTCTCTCTCTTGCAAGCCGGTCGAGAGGGAGCAAGATGCGAGAAGGGGCAGAGAGAGAGGAGAAGACAACCTGCCGCCTGGGGTGGGCTTGGGAATACCTGTGGTCAGCTTCAGGCAGTTCCTACACTAGGTTGTACTCCTTCAAGTTCAGCTGCAGGATGGTGTCCTTTACGGCGGCGAACACAAATCGGATGTTCTCCGTGTCTGCAGGCCAGAAAGGAAAAGAAATGGGAAAAGGAAAGGATGAGAGATGGCTTTGAAAAGAGAACAGTGATCAAAAGAGAAAGATAATGCATACCGTAAGAGTTCGCCAACCTAGAGAAGTTCATAAGCGTGACAAGTTTTAGGGCTGACAGCGAGTTATGATTGCCTCAGTAAATATGCTGTATAATCCTGAATAGTAGTAAACAATTTGCCAAATCCTGTTGTCTTAAGTATACACTCGCTCAATCACAGAATATCCCGAGTGCAGTACCATGTGAACAGCTCATGAAGGGGTACTAGACATAAAGGAAGCCACACACTAGACTACATAAAATACAGTTAAACCTGCTTATAATGAACCTCCATATAACGAATTCCTTGATATATCGAAGTTTTAGAGGCGAAGCTCCTTAAGGCGTCGGTCTGTTCATCCCTTGTATGTATGTAGTAGTACGCAGCCACTGGCGGCACATACCCGCTCTAGAGCAGGTATGAGCCACAGGGGATGCGAGATGGGAGATGGCGGTACTTGGAGTGCTCACTAGATAGACGCACGGACAGAGACTAGCAGACAGACGCACGGATGGATAGACGCGCACACGGATGGATGCATGGACGGACAGACTCATGGATGGACGCACAGACCGATGCAAGGATGGAAGCGCAGACGGATGCAAGCTAGAACGAATGGACGGACGGAAGCACGGACAGACTGATGGACGCTTCGCCCCACTCATCATCATTCACTCCATGGGTATGCTGTGATTTTTTTTATTCCCCCGCCGTTACTTCATAGAAGCACATATATTTGCGACCTTTATGTAACAAAGTAACAGCGGGAGACATCCTTGATATAAGAAATTTTGCCCCGAATTTCGTCCTTTTGGCTCGAGCATGCATCTTCTACAGTTGCCCTGGCGTCGCCGGCGGATGCCCCCTTGCCCTCCCTCCCTCCAAACCAAACAAAAAAAAAAAAAAACTTTCGCATAAGCAGTGGCCCGCTTTTATTTAGTTAGCGTCACAAATGTTGGGCCGCACTGCATATGGAGGGCACTTGATCGAATAGTTTACCACAGTATTCGTGTAGTGCTCCTTTCGTTCTCGGCGCACTGTGCACATGCATTGTTTTATTGCACAAGCATGGTGTGGCCTCCGACAACGTCCAGCTTTGCTTTTTTTTTTCCTTTTTAGTGTGCAGACAATCCTGTCATCACTACTTATGGGGATGTCAGATAAGCGCTGATAGCGACTCTTCGAGACCATGTGCAACAACTAAACTTCAGAGGTCGACCTGTCACGTGCTTCAGTCTTGCACCGCACGGCAAGCTCCCACTGGACCTTACGTAGCCTTCGCAATCAGCCGATCAACTCCGACAAGAACACGACGGCACGTTGAATGCAATGCAATGAATGTGATAGCAACGAAGTGTAAGGCTGGCAGCCAACTATATTGAATTCGATATTGCGGAACTCCTATAAAACGCTGGTGTAAGCAAATACGGCCACTACACGAAGCTGTACTCATTTTGCAAACTCTCTTTGCGTTGAAAGAGCACTGATGCTTGCCAAGATAGCACGCGTGCCAGCGACGGCGCCCTTAAAATCAAGGTTCACCGTTGCTACTGATTGAGCGACCCACCCCCACCCCCCTCTTGTGTTTTTTTTCATGCTCGTCCAAGATGAGTGGCTTCCTTTCTGTTTGAGAATTCAACGGCAGTTTTAACACACGGGGGGATGTTATCGCATGCGCCCTACAAGCCATAGAGATGGGCCAGCTCACTTCATCTCTGCTCCAGCAGCGCTCTCGCGCTTTTACTCACTCGCAAAAGATACGATGCGCGGCGATCAATTTGGACTTGTTACAGAATATGGCGGCAACGGTAAAAACCCGCCGAGAGTGTCCATATGACACATTTTTTTAGCGCTAAATAAGTGCTTTGGGTTAGCGATGGTCCTAAAACTGAATAGCGATCTACTATTTTAGATCATGCCTTACAAACAAAATTTAAATAGGTTAGAGCCTGTGATAGTCGCCCCACGTGCCATTAAATAATCTGAAAGGCTACAATTATAGTGGTACGATGGTGAAAGACAGGGTTTGTATATAACTCATGTGTGCTTATACACTGGTCAACACGACAGCCAATAAAAATGCTAATTCCTACACATAAAGCACACATGATTCGCCTTCATCACCATATTGCATTCATATAACAATCTCCTACACTGCAACATCAAGATTTTGCTACTTTTCAAGCACTTGCACTTGAAAATTCTACCCCTTGAGACCAAAACATACAAAAATTAAAATTTTATCTTTGCTTGTGTACCAGAAATTCAGCCAAGACAACAGCCCCATCAAAACACTTGTGTATTTATATTACATATCACAGTAACTGGAATATGTGGCTAGCATGTCATGACAATTTGAAGAAATGGGCAATGCGTTCTTAAGCGATCAACACAACAGGAATGAACAAACAGCACAGAGAAACAACAGTGCCATATGTACCCATGTTACAACCTCAGTAGATCAAATACACAAGTGCCAAAGAAGCTTTGTGAATGATATCACAGGAGAACTGTGCTGTTATGTCTTACCTAAGAGCTTGATGCATACATTGGAGCCCTGATTATGTGACCCTAAGGGGACCTCACAAAATCATCAAAAAAAAAGGATAATGCCACTCTGTCTTGCCAAATAAACAAGCACATACTTCCTCAACAAGTTCGCAAAATGACCCTGGACTTGTTCAAGAAAGGTAAATTATATTATTCTTAAAAATCACAGCAAAACATTTAATCAGAGCTGGTGCAAGCAAACCTTCATTCTCAACTTAAAAAAAAATATCTAACCTATCGTGCACTTCCCTTCCTATGAAACCAGCCCAAAAAACGCCTGCATATAAAAATGAAACCTCCAAACTGCATAAGAAACAGCCTAACATCCTCACATCAAAAAAGACAGGCACAGTATATCGGCGTTACATAATGACGATGGAGCAATTCTGTGGAAGTTCCAAGTGAAACTGAGCTGTGACCGTCTTATTGGTTACCTTGTGAAGTGCAATCGGCAAGGTGCTACTGTTTCTATGAGCACTCCCGTCAAGGGAATCTTAATTTGCAGAATGCAGTAGCTGCGTCACAACCTTTTGTGTGCTGGAGGCCTGAGACTGCAGGTGCCATAAACAAAGGGAGGAAACCTTCAGCTGCATGTTGAAAACGAAAAATTTCCACGGGCCATTAATGTGAAAATATCTAGGTCTTGAAGATGAGATTGTCAACTGACTAAAGCTACTCCACGTAGGTGGAGCTTGTTTAGGCAACTGCCCTAGGACACGCCTATGATTGAGGCATATCTAGAAGCAATCTTGAAGCCACTGGATCACAGAAGAAAGTGAACTGTCAGGAGAATAAGTTTCCCACGCTGAAAAGGCCTGCTGTACCTGTTCTCTCTCTCTCTTTTTTTCTCAACTATCAAACTAGGAGCAGCACATATGTTTTTTTTTGTTTTTTTTTTTCGGCCACAAATATGGTTTCGGGCGTTACTGTAGTCATTGTACGATGCGTGGTCAGTGTAAAAAGTTCCGACGTACAATCGAGGTTCTAAATAGCTTTTGTCAGGACCAAACTTACTCGTCATAAAAGGCGAGTCATCACAAAACCGGGGAGACGTATAATCATAGTTCCTCTATATATTGTTGGTAGCGGCCCTATAAAGAGGGTGCAATTCACCCTGACCAGAAAGGGTAGTACAGTTTTATCTCTTGCAAAGCATCCGATGGAAGTGCAAAATGATTACAACTGGGCTGGACAGGGAAGAGCATGAATGCTTCGCCTAGTCTGATGTGCTAACCATAATATAACGCGATAAGTGATACCCAAGTTACACGGGCACCCTAACCACAGTTATGACGAACCTCAGTTTCCGCAAGAGCACAGTTACATTCAGTTGTACGGAAAGCTTCAACACTACTAAATGTGGTTGCTCCAAACTGAGGTTGACCACTTTAGTTGTAGAAACTGACCAAATCGTAGCACCTATGTCCATGGCTGAAAGCACTATAACTTCAGCAAAGACTTCCCAAAATTGATTGAAAAAGTGTTTTCAAACAAAACAGTAGATGATGGATTAAAGGGTTTAGTGTCCTCCGATTTTCATTGAGAAGAGAAAGAAAGCCGCAGCATGACCTAGAAAGCTTTCCTTCGCAAGGGGCTTACCAGGTATGCATAATACAGGGCAATCAACTGCTTTCCAAGCAGCGAGAATAGCAACCAGATCACTCTAAGAAGAGCTTCAGCAGAACGAAAACTAAACTTTTGCCATTATACTTCTACCGCCTCGCTTCCGGCAGCAATAAAACTCCTAAAAAAAAAGCTGATTACTTCACTTTCCCAAGGTTGCACTGGCCCAGAGCTCTGTGAAACGGTGAATAAACAGCAGAGATCAGTCCATTTGTTCTATCGCAAGCTTGTGATACTACAATCCCCAAGAACAACCCCATACTGTGACAACAGACGAATGAAATGGAAATGAGAAGTGAACCCATGGACAATGTGGTTTGAACACTGATAAGTTTAGCTTAGCACAGACCTTAAATTAGTTCCATTGGTAATTTTAAACAATAGCACATTTCACAATGCAGCTCATAGACGTGACATGCTGGCCAAAGAAATATCTCCAAAAGTTCAAGGCGCCCACTAAGGACACTGCACAGCAATCTCACTGCATTATCACCAAAGTAATAACTGGATGGCCCCAACGTAATTAGTGCAACCTAGCCTACAACTATGGAAGCACAGCACAGTGTCACCGTGCAGTGCACTGCTTATCTATTCCAAGCTAAATACAGAATTCTAGATACAAGTATAGTTTTGTTTAGGTGTAGTGCAGAAAATTTTTATTTGTGTATCAACTATTTAAGAGCAGAACGAATTAGGATGCGCACAGTAATGTTCTCGTGAGACGTTTGTTGTACACTCCAGCCGAACCATTTACAGCTCACAATAAAACTCATTCAGCATCCGAGCAGAAAACAAAATTATACCTTACATATTGCCGGCATTCACTTCCAATTAAATGGCAAATACAAGAGAGACTTTACTGTTCCTAAAGTACTCTCACAATTCAGAACAGCAAGGCCCATTGCCAGGACACAGAATTTATTTTTATGTCCTGTCATAGTTGACAAAGCTGGAGGTGCAACAGCAAAAGCAACAATTCGCAAGAATGCTGAACGTGATGCAAAGTTAATTAAAAGACACTGGTAAAGAACTTTCCAAAATGTAAAAACAAGGATAAAAGTGGCAAGTCACACAAACCCATCCAAACCGAAGGCATGCGGCTCAAAAGGAATGCAGGGCAGAGAAAGAAAGAATCAGGCAAAGTTGAACTCTTTAAGGTTGTTCTGCATAATGGTGTCCTTGACAGCACAGAACACCATCCGAATGTTCTCCGTGTCTTACGCCCGCAAGGCATGCAAGAGGAAAGAAAGGAAAGGAGAAAGAAAGGATTAACATATCAGGCATGGGTGGGATCACCCAAGTCTGGAAACAAGAAGTACACTCATTTCACAGTACGAACAAGAAACAGGCGGCAGTCAGAGCACAGCAGTCAAGAGAGGGGCATACCAAAGTGAGAAATTGAGTCAAGACACCATTAAAAGTTGAAAGGTTCCAGGCAGTGCAAGCGCTACGCAAGTCGCATATTTCCAGGTGAACAAAAGCATTCCACGAGCAATGATGAAGGCCAGTGAGAAACCCATGCAGGCTTCCACCGTAAAAGAGCACAACAGCCGCAGCAATGCGCAGGCCAGCAAGGCTGCCACACGCTCCTACCTGTTGCACACGTGAAATGAGAATAGATGATTTTTTCACTGTCCGGGTTGAGGTCCACAAACATTTTAAGGATGAACTCCCTAGCATGAATGGCATCTTTCTTTGGTCCTACAAAAGCGAACAAATGAAGCAATATCTACATGAAGATCAGCAGGTAAATGAGCTAGAGGGTGGGAAAGAGTGGCTGCAAGGAATGGGAAAGGGTGGCTGCAAGGAACAAACTATGTGGCTACAAAGGCGTCACAACGAATCAGCACAACACTGTTACGCAATGTGTAATATTGTGTAACAATGTGTAATATTGACTAAAGCAATCAACTATGTACCCACAGCAAACTAGTTGGTGGCTTGTAATAGAGAGAAAAAAGAAGAAAGACCCCCAACAAAGTACCATAATAATTTTAACGCATTGCTGAGAGCCAAGCTTATAGCCTACTGGTGCGCAGCACTCGTCTATGAAAACAATATTCAGCAACACTACAGCACAAGAACAATACCAACAAAGCAAGTGAAAAGGAACGCATGTTTGCTTGTTCCTTGAAACAGCAGTTTTTGCACACAAGAATGGCCTCAGAATGGCCGTTGTCATAACTGCACGCACACATTTTAAAAAAGAAGGAAGAAAGAAACCCACAATAGCAACTACAGAAACACTCGGCATTTTGATGGCCTAATGGTCGCCTCACGATATGCACCACACAGTGCACTTAGCAGCAACTACACAGCCATTGGTACATCCCCTTCAAAAGAATTCAGAAACCATACGGTACATATCGGCTGAAGAAGACCATGCAAGGGCCGTGGCATGGTAGAACTCCTGTGGCTTTTAATAAATGTAGAAAATAAGAAAAAGTGTTCTGTATTGCATTGAAACTATAAGATACGACTTGGTCATGTGATGCATGTAGGAACGGGAAAACAATAACAGCAATGACAAGAAGAAAGCTGCTGAGACACTGGAATAAAATTATGTGGTGGAAAAAGAAAGAAAAGCTATGCGAGAAATCCTCATGGCCCAGCATCTTGAGAAGGAAACGTAGAAATCCTGGCGCGTGTGAGAAGAAAAGGAGCAGCAAAAGGAGCAGCCATGCCAACGAGCCATCCTGCCAATGCCTCATGTCTTTGAGCTAATGGCTCTTATGGCTGGCTCGTGTTCTTTGGCAGTCAAGCACGCCATCTACACCAGTCGTCCAGTGGTGCACTGGCAGCACCCTTTAGAGGCCCACTGCCTGGTCACCTGACTCCCCACTCAAAGGTGAGCACAGAGTTAATGGTGCTGTAACATCCCTTCTGGGATGCTCATGATTTCCAGACAGAGATGATAGTAATGTGCACCCCCTTTTTTTTTTTTTTTGTTTCCTTGAAAAGCAAAGGTGGCCGACATAATGTAATCTCTTTGTTATCTCGTTTGTATGTAATCAGAGTTGTGTCTTTATAAAATCTGTTTATGTGAATGCGCAAGGTAGAATGCTCACGTAGTCATTATTATTTACGCTTGATTCAGGCGATTAACCAGCTACAGTGACTGCAGTACATCGTGACAGACATATATTTTACAGCGTAGGCAATTTTCAGATAGATCTTTTACGCCCTGTCATAATACACGATGCGATGTTAGCGATTTGGGCAGCTGCTAAAACCCACCAAGGAGAATTTGTGCACCTTCTTGCCACTGTAAAAAAAGTATGTTAATGTTTGATTGGCTAACCTTCCTGATGAAAGCAGCATCACTATATGAAAACATGCACGTAGTTTCCTGTGTGCTTCCAACCTGCACAAAATCGAGAAATTGTGCCTGCATATCCAAAAGTGCATATGCCTCTGCACTTGCTATTTGACACAACGAGGTGTGAACACCAGGACTTCTTAAAATGAAAGCAACCAAGAGTCACTTTTCAATGGGAATGCAAGAAAAAGCAATTCAAATGCAGTATTGACAGCTGCGAAGAAGAATTCTGCACATGCTCAGCCACATCAAACACAGCAAAGGGCACTGTTATCTTCTCCCTCCTTCCCCCCCCCCCACCCCCAATACAAGCATAAAGTTTTCTCTGATGCCCTTATTCTCAATAATGCTAACTTGACACAGACACCACCAAGAAATATACTGACAAATTGCTTTTCACAAGCGTAACAGTAGGCCAAAAGAGTGTCAGCATAATTGATTTGATTTGATTGATATGTGGGGTTTAACGTCCCAAAACCACTATATGATTATGAGAGACGCCGTAGTGGAGGGCTCCGGAAATTTCGACCACCTGGGGTTCTTTAACGTGCACCCAAATCTGAGCACACGGGCCTATAACATTTCCGCCTCCATCGGAAATGCAGCCGCCGCAGCCGGGATTTGAACCCGCGCCCTGCGGGTCAGCAGCCGAGTACCTTAGCCACTAGACCACCGCGGCGGGGCATGTGAGTCAGCATAATTAAGGAAGGTGTTACAAAGGAACATACATCATGATATTCTTCAATAGATTTTGAAGTCTTGAAGTTAACAGAAATAAGACAAGTCCCGTCTATCACACAGGCATACACAAGCACACATTATCTACCGAATAAAATTACCAAATAAACAAATTTAGACAAGAAATCAATACAGATTTGAACGTCCCTCACAGTTTCTGGCTATTGGCATGCTGAACCCTAAAAGTATCTGCATATGCTACAATTACAATCGCCTTTATGGGACACTAAAGACAAATGCTATGTAGCAAATTGTTGATGAAATAGCATTCCAGACACTTCATAGCCCTTTGTTAGGGCCAAGGAAATGCTTATCTTGAAAGAAAATTGGGTTTTAGTCGTCTGCACACCGTTGGAGGAATTAAAATTGCCCGCCTGAAAATACCTTCTGGTGTGACAGATGCCTTGCCGCACTTTCGCTCGCTTTTACTGTGCAGCAGCCAACACTGCGGCTTCTTGCTCGTGCAGCCGAATAGCGGCCAATAACCAATCCAAAACTGAGCTTAGCTTGGCCAGCAGCAGCAGTTGAGTAGAAGCAGTGTGTAGGTAAGTGAGAGTGAGGCAGCAACTGACCATCAAAACTTGTCGCAATGGGTCTCGAGGCCTGGCACTCGGCTACAGGGGTTCATTCTGTGGCACCCAGTGGAAATTCACATCCGTTGCTTTGCTGCAGCTAAAGCGGCTTACTAAGTGTCATTCAGGTATCCGACATGGACATGGCATTTTGTTGAAATTTCTGTCAGAGCAACCTCCATGAGTGTCCAAAACACGGGCAGTGGCATGCAATAACAAAACTACCACTGCTGTACAATCGTGTCAGTGGAGCCCAATCTGGCAAAGATGGAACTTTTGAACCAGCTGTGCCGTTCTCTATGGTAACACCTCCAAGTTCTTTTATCCATGCATCAAACAGAAACACATTTGATGTTTTATTACCTCCTGTAATGCAAAAAAAAAATGTTCTTTTCTATGATAAGTAGTTTGAATACTAATGATTTGTTCTACTTGGGACTCTTGACGTCACTGGGCTAATTCTAAGTGTCCCACTTGTGGTGCATATGGTGTCGTACTACCTTAATTTCTTGATTATTTGAGCATTGCAGAACAATATTGACATCTTAGAGGTCGCCTAAGGTTTGCATTTCAATAAAACTTGCTGCTGAGCGAGTCAGTTAATACCCGAAAGGATGGTTGCACACAAACTACACACGAAGACGAGTGCAACCTGCATTCGTCTTTGTTTTTGTGTCCTCGGGTGGCTTGTGCACAACCATCTTTTCTTCCCATCGACATTTCACTGCAACATAAATTGTTATTTGCCTTTAGTGTCCCTTTATAATATTGTTACAGACAGTAGGGCAAAGAACACAACGCAATAAACTGGCGAGCATGTTTTCATTAGTACATTACATGAAGTCATTGACACTGACGTGACTTATCCACTGACTCTTTTTGAGAAAGTCTATTCGTAGCATCCGACTGCACAATGCTGTTAGCACTCGATTAACTAACAGCGATGGCACTTTCTTGCAACCGACTTGTGTCTAATTCAAACCCAACAGCCCATGAAACCAAGGTGCACTGATGTCATGATTGACATCAATCAAGAGCCACAAGTATGGGCTTTATTTCAGGGTGCGCAAGCTTAAGGACAAGCAAGCAGCGAAACCATCATCCCTTATGACACACATTTTTTATTTTTTTTTTCCTCACATGCCAATAGCGGACCAACTCAACTATGAGCATCAGTACTAATAAAAATACTGAGAATGCTACCTTAGGAGAATGGACATAGCATACGTTAAGTGGGACTTACATATGCACTCACTTCCAGTGCATTCTGTATGACAGTCTTTCGAATTCTAAAGAGAAGCTAAGTTTAGTCTTCGTGCCCGTATTTTGCGTCCATATTTTGCTTAGTGTACAAGGGCCTGCTACAAAGTGCTTCCCGCACTGAAACATGGCATTGTTTGCTGCCATCTCACAACGTTTAAAAAGGCCCTGCAACACTCAATCAGCATGGTCAGTATAGGCTGTCGATCGGCAGTTGAGGGTCTTGAGAACACTTGAGCCAAACATTATAGTTCAGCCAGAAATTTGGAAGTCGGCTTAAAATTTTATTGCGATAGCAATTATATGGACACTCTCAGCTGGATTTTGCCACCAGCGTCGGCGTCACTCACCGTATATGTATACATATATACATATTTAAGAAAACGCAAGAAAGAAAAAATCCAGAAAAAGCACAGCACAAGGAATCGTACTTGGAACCTCTGCATCGTGAGTGCGAGGCATTAACCACTGAGCTACCAAGGAGCACGTCCTTCAACGTGTAAACGGGAAGCTATTTATATCTACCACTTACCGCTGGTGAAGGGCATCTCATAGGGGGACTATCGTGTTTTTAGCATTAACAGCAAGATGTCGCAATGAGCACGTGCCCTCATCTCCCACACGTACTTTGCCTCGCGGAGAGGAGTGGGTGGTCGTAAAGCCCCTGAACGCCCTTATCTCGCAGTTGGGAGCATCTTATGTCTTCGCTGTCCTTAAGCTTTCACCGGAACGATTCTGTTGTGGTTATCGGGCACACAGAGGTCTTGCAAAATAGCGCACTTTTCAGTTACAGCAAAGTAACAACTAAGACG